CCATCTCTTTCCCAGCTCCTGAAGCAGGCCATCAAGTACGAGACTGGCTCTCTGATGCCCCCTCCTGGCTATAATCAGAACAGCATTGCCCCCGGTGAGTCTCACTCATACAGTGTTGGGTGGGGCGGAGCAAATGCGTACCCGGAGAGCCCTTGCAGCCTCACAACCTCACCATCCTTCAGCAGGTGATCATTCTCAGACGCAGTTCTCCCTGGTGGAGGAGAGCCCTGCTGACAACATGCTGGAGACCTGGCTCTTCCCTGTGAGATGATGCTCATCTTGTAGTCCTGTCTCTTGCTCTCTATTAGTGCTTTCTGGGCTGGGGCTGGGTCCTAGGGGCTCCTAATACAGTGGGACTAATACAGTGAGGCACCTTCATCCCCGGGAACCAGTAAGCTGTGTTCTGCAGGGTGGGCCGTCTGGTCGTGACCACGTGGTGCTGACTGGCTCTGCCGGACCAAAGGAGCTCTGGGAACTGGTGTGGGAGCATAGCGTCCACGTGCTGGTCTCCCTGAGCCTGCCTGATAGCAAAGAGAAGGTGAGGGGCGTGGAGGGGCAGGATGTGTGGCTCAGGAGTGGCACAGAGGAAGGAGGAGTATGTGGTGGTGCCGTGTGGTCAGGGCGTGGGCAGAGATTTTGGAAGCTGATTGAGAGGCCTGTTTTGGTCCCAGCCACAAGACTTCTGTCCAATGGAGATGCAGCCTGTTGTCACAGACACGGTGACGGTGCACAGAGTGGCTGAGGGCAATGCAGCTGGATGGCCTTGTACCCTCTTCAGGGTCATACACGTAGGTGTTGAGACCACTGGGCGTGGGGCAGAGGGCAGTGATACTGAGATTCCCATCCTGGCTTCCCCCGGCCACTCCCCGCCCCCAGCACCAACGTTGATCTTGCCCTTGCTCCAGGGGGAGAGTGGAACGGAGAGGCAGGTTCAACACTTGCAGTTTCCATGCTGGGAGTCTGGGTGCGAGCTCCCAGCTACCACCCTGCTGCCCTTCCTGGATGCTGTGGGCCAATGCTGCTCTCGGGGCAAGAGCAAGAAGCCAGGGACCCTGCTCAGCCACTCCAGGTGCTGTCAACTTGGTTAAAGGGTAGTCTCTCAAGGCCCCTGTCTTCTCTGCTCCATCCCCAGGGATTGGGTAGGGTTCTAACCCGGCTGGTTAACTAAGTACCTAGCATTCTTTCCCAGTCCTTAGAACTAAATTTGGTATCCACGAGTCCCCAGACGCTGCCCCATTCCCAGAGGTCCCACATCTAACTCTAGGTCAATTACAGCAAGGGCACAAATCAGCTGGGCACCTTCTTGGCTCTGGAGCAGCTGCTCCAGCAAGCAGGGACTGAGTGCACCGTGGACGTCTTCAATGTGGCCCTGAAACAGTCGCAGGCCTGTGACCTCATGACCCCAACACTGGTGAGAAGCGGACAGGGAGGGGCTCACCATGGAAGGGGTCAAAGACGGGAAGGGTCTGTCCCAGCTACAGATGACAGTTAGGTAACCCCATTCAGGTCTCCACCAGGTGGCTCTGTGGACCACCATGCCCTCTCTAGCTGGACTAGGGGTCAGGAGAGCCGTGGGAACCTTTCTCTGTCAGGTTTGGGCAAGCAGGTGACATAGCTTGTCCACGTCTACCCGCAGGAGCAGTATATTTACCTCTACAACTGTCTGAACAGTGCACTGCTGGATGGGCCGCCCTGAGTTGGGGAGTGGTCTGTGCCCTGCTGGATGTCATGTCCCAACAAATCCACCCAGGCCTGGCTTCCCTGGGAGAGCAGCCTCCACTGGGCTTCATGCTGTAAAGGGGCAGAGTCAGGAAATAAAGACACATGGTCAAACTCATGGTTATGTTCTGTTTCTCCATCCTTCAACCTGGGACAAGGATGAGAGCCGGGGCCTGGGTCTAGATGGGCCAGTTGACCCACAGCTGGCATGGTTTGGTTCTCTCCTGGTGTCCTCTCTTCTCCAATCTGCTGCTTTCCCAGTGTGTTCAGACTCCAGCCTTTCTACCCACAGTATCCCGGGCTGCTAAGCCCCAGATCTGGGTCCTGTTCACTCCTTGTTTGCCACCCCAAATGTGTAGGAACTCTGGTTTTTCATTCCTCATCCTGTGCCACCTCACCCTCTTGTCTGTCTGCCAGTCCTCGGGGCCTCTATTCAGTCACTGCAGGCTCCTTGCCAGGGTAGAGGTGCTAGGGCCACATCGTGACCTTTAAGTAAGGGACCAGAGGTGGCTCTGGTCGGACCTGCCAAGTTTTCTGATTCCTTCACTTTCTTCCTCTCTTTTATATAGGAGAGAAGGGGAGGGATATGGAGAAGGGAAAGACTAGGAGACCCTGCAGAAAGAAAGAAAGAAAGAAAGAAAGAAAGAAAGAAAGAAAGAAAGAAAGAAAGAAAGAAAGAAAGAAAGAAAGAAAAGAAAAAAGAAAAGGTATGCGGGTGAGGCTATCTGTCCAGACACTTTAGGACTGGGTTGTATACCACGGGATGCAATTGCCAGTGGTCTCACAAGTTCCTGCCTGCCTCCAAGGGGACCTGATGATTGGCACTGATTGCCACAGGGGGAGAGATTTGGGAGGACACAAAGAATGCCTGAGCCAACCACAGCAGCACTCCTTTAATTGGGTTTAGCTCCCTGTCCATAGGGAATCGCCAGGGTTGGTTCTTTGGCCAACTTGGTTCTTAGCAGTGTGCCAGGGGGTCAGGCAGATGGTCTGAGAGGGTCCTCAGGCCTGGTGACGAAAGGGAACAAAGCTTTATGGAAGTTTGCAGAATTCTTGCCTGCTATGCATGAGATACTGGATTTGATCCCTAGCGCCACATAAATACATGGTAGCCTGTGACTACCGTGTGACAGCACTCAGGATGTGAAGACAAGAGGGACCAGAGCTCAAGGTCATCCTCAGCTACATAACAAGCTCGAGGCCAGCCTGGGCTACAGGAGACCCTGACTCAAGAAACAAAAACAGGGGGCTGGAGAGATGGCTCAGAGGTTAAGAGCACTGGCTGCTCTTCCAGAGGTCCTGAGTTCAATTCCCAGCAACCACATAGTGGCTCACAACCATCTGTAATGATATCTGGCGCCCTCTTCCGGCCTGCAGTCATACATGCTGTATACATAATAAATAAATCTGAAAAAAAAAAAAAAAGAAACTAAAGCAAAAAACTAACAAAAAGTAGGGCTGGGCCCTGGAGGTGGCTCGTTGGCTAAGAGTGCTTGGGGCCAAACCTGACACCAGGGTTCAATCCCTGGAGCCCATATGGTGGGAGGAGAGAACAGGTTCCCACAATTGGTTCTCTGATCTTCACACTTGTGCCACGTGCCACAGCATACGTGCCCACGCTACCCATACGTAAGATAGGTGTAATTTTGTTAAAAAGTGAGGCTTTCTGCTAGCTGGGAGCCTCCCCAAAGTGAGATTGGGCTCTGGTGCCCCCAGAAGGACTGGACATCAATGTTTCCTTCAGGACTGTGTCCCTCAGGCGTCCAAGGAGTTGGCTCCTGAATGACCCTCCCATGGGCAGGCTGGAAACTCAGCTCCGAGCTATCCAAGCCCACTCCAGAGGGCTGCTCCAGGGGTGGGATGGGGCCCAAGTGTGGTTTCCCAGCCTTGACAGGAGCCCTGAAGCATCATGGGTGGGAATTGTGTGTGTGTGTGTGTGTGTGTGTGTGTGTGTGTGTGTGTGTGTGTGTGTAGGGTAGAGCCAAGGTGAAGGCAAGGGATACGTGAGATGGGAAATGCAGAGGGGGCTTCTGCCTGCAGGTTTGTATGGCCATGGAGGGTCTTCCCGTGACCTTCCTAAAGACTCATTGTCCACTTCCATCACGGCCTCCACTGGAGTCCTGGAAGCCGTTCTTTGGGCTTCTTGAGCTGATTGTGCATCTCCCTCCTCACCAGACCCAGAGTGTCCACAAAGGACGGAGAGGGGCTGATGAGAGTGTTTGCGTCATAGAAGTAAAGGGTGGAAGGGATCTTGGCTCCTTCGAGGTCCTCATGTTTCCGGTGTGGACCATGGAAGTTAGGGCAGAAAGGGTCTCAGCCTGGCCTAGTTCTACCCAGGGGCTTGGCTCAGAGAAAGGTCTGGAGACCAGAGAAAGCAAAAGGACGCACGAGGAAAGCGCTACGAATCCAGCGCGGCCTGAGAAGAGAACAGGGTCTTGAGTTTTAGGCAGCACTGTCCTTGCTCTCCAAGGTCCTGGGATGGATTATGGAAGGAGTTGGACCCTTAAGGTGGCTGAGCCGCAGCTGCAGCACCGAGCCTCCAGGTGGCGCCAATCCACCGACTCGTTGGCAAGCTCTGGCAACCAGCGGTGCAGAGGGCAGCCCCTCAACGGTCCTGGATCCTGAGACCAGGGTGATTTCCAGACCTCAGATCTGACAGCCTACACGAGTTCATTTCCACGTCCTGTGCATTTTGTGGAATCCACGCCAGTTTCTTCGGTGTCAGAGCGTGGCTCCCAATGAGGGGTCCCTCCTCATTCCTACTGCCAACCTGCAACGAACCATTCAGCCCAGGACCTCCTCCTTCCCCTGGTCAGGATAGGATGCGGAGGAATGACCTGAGCGCTACTTCTGAGGCTGTCTCCATCAGTCCTGTGACCTTGAACATCTCTTTCTCTCGGGTCTCTCTTCCCTTCAAAGTAAAAATCTGGTAGTCTGTGGAACTCAGAAGTCTTTTCCTCAAGGACTTCTCTGGTCCCTTGAGAGCCTGTGGCTGTTCCCAAAGTCAAGTTGTTGGGCCTGGGTGCTCTGGGGCACCCTTTCCAAACAAGTACAAGTCCCTGATGTGCTGACCGTCCCTAGCTTTGGGTTGCTTTGCTTTCTTCCTCTCTCCCCAATCCCCTGGATGAAATTCCTGCCAGCTGAGAAGGAAGGAGGGGACGGGAGGGAGCCACAGCGTAGAAAGTTTCCCTGACTCCTCCTCCCACCCCCCCCCACCCCCGTGTCTCCCTCCCTTGCCAAGCCCAGCCTGTGAAACTGAATAACGAAGATCACTCAACAATGCCTGCCCCTCTCTGACTGCACAGTCCCGCCGCCGCCGCCGCTGCCGCCGCGCCCCAGCCAAGTAGAGCGGGGGCGGTCCCCACCGACGGCGCAGCCCTCGGGCCCGCCCGGGACCAGGAGGTGAGCCGCGCGCTCACTGCTCTGTGCACCCGCCCGCCCGAGCGCCCGCCAGGTGCCCTGCAGCCCGCCGCCGCCGCCGCCGAGATGCACAGCCCGCCGGGGCTCCTGACGCTGTGGCTTGGCGCGGTGCTGTGTGCCTCAGCGCTCGCAGGCAGCGACCCCCAGCCTGGCCCGGGGCGTCCCGCCTGCCCGGCTCCCTGCCATTGCCAGGAGGACGGTATCATGCTGTCAGCTGACTGCTCCGAGCTCGGGCTCTCAGCGGTGCCGGGGGACCTGGACCCCCTGACGGCTTACCTGTGAGTACTCACCTGCTCGGTCCTGCTCTTCGTGGTGGCTGTCTGCCCCGCAAACACCGTTTGATGCCCTGGGACATGAGCATCCCAGGAGAGCTCTTCCCCTTCCAAGTTTAAGGATTGAAGGACTGCGGGGAGCAGAGGAGAGTCCTTAGGAAACTAAGGACAAGGCAAGGAGTGAACCTGGGCCTCCCTGCTCTTTCCCAGGTGCTCCCCACCCTCATAAGCTCAATGTGGGGATCCAGGCCTGGTGGAGTGAGGTGTGAAACCTGAGCAAGAAAATGGGGACCGCGGGGCGGGGGAGCCTCTGCATTCATTCGCTGTCTTTGCCGGCAGAACAGTGCCCAGGAAGGTTGATGAAGGCATAAGTTACTGCCCTGGTGTGAGGGGAGAGGAGTGTGCCCCAGTGGAGTGGAAACAGGTTCCTCTACCATAGCAAGAAGCAGAGCTGTCCCATCGAGGCAGGGGGCCTTGGTGAGGGGTCCCTGCCACTCACTCTCTTTAAAAAGGGATTCTGCCAGTACTATCTTCGTGTGTGGAGGTCTTCTGCCCCTTCCCCAGGCCTCCCTAAAGTCACGTCCCAGGAGGCTGTGTTAGAGACACTAATTTGTGGGCAGGCTTCGAGACTGAAAACCAGAGAACCATTTTTAGAGTCTGAGTTGGGGTGAGATGGTGCATGAAGGGGATCCTTTTGGGGGTAGCTGTCTCAGAATCAGGGAGCCAGAGGCTGTAGCTGCTCTCTACCTGGGCGTGAGGGGTGGGGGGGCGCATCCCAGACCACCTGGCTTCCACCCCAGAAAAACCTCTGGCCTTCCCTGCTCTCCCTCAGAGGATGTCGAGCAGGTGGTAAAGTCTGGGTAGGATTCCCAGAGCTCCCTCAGGCCTGGGAGAGGCTCTCTCAGCTTTGGGGTCCTAGAACTGATGAGCACCGAGGAAGAGGGAGTTGGGCTTGTCCCAAAAGGCTCAGCTCGGGGCCAGGGTGCACTGAGGGGGCAATGTCCTAATGAGTGTGGGGATCCTGAACTAGAGCCTCTTGTGGGGCTCCCTTCTCTCCCTCCCCTGGATATCCTCCTTCACTCCAAAAAACACAGTCGTGCTCAAGGGAGTGAGGGCTGAGAAACATCCATATTTCAGAAGGGCAAAGCAAGTCCCGAGAGGTGAACACAGGGTTCCAAAACAGAGTTGTGAGGGCACTCCAGTGCCAGGCAGAGTACAGGGGCTCTGGCCCACCCCCGCTACACCCCCAGAAGCCCCCATTTCTAGCAGTTTTACATATTAGGGATCTATGACATTGTTTTGCTGAAAGACAGGGCCGATGACTAAAAGGAGTTTAGAAAGAATTTCTGTTGAGCTCCTTTCGGGACAGCAGAAGAGAGAGGCCTTTCGCCTGTGTCAAAGGGACAGAGGATCAGGACCTTCCAGAGGGTGGTAGGTCAAACTACCTTTCTCAGCACCCAAGACATTCTAGATTAATCTGAGGGCCTTTTTCTGGCTAGGGCTTGGGGACAGACGTAAAGAGTTTCACTTTGGGGACCCAAGTGTCCCACCATCCATTCTGACAGCAGCTCCCTGGCACTCGGACCCAGTGCCTCTGAAGCGAGGCATCTTTGGGTTATAAGACGTGAGGGTCTCTGGGCTCTTCCTGAGCCCTCCTAGGTGTTGAGGAAACCTTTTTCTTCCAGGCTGAAGAGTGTTTCTGAGGGTGGGAGAAGGGAGTGACCGGTACGAGTCCTGGGGTGATGTAGAAAATTGTACCGCAGTATCTGCAGTGTTGGAGGGCGGTGGAGAGGACTGTCTCTCTGGCCTTGGCTGGGCAGGGGTCCCAGGGTAGTAATGGAGGAGGGGCATCTGCCGTCTGCAGGTGCCTCAGAGGTGAAGCCTCTTTGCTTTCTCAGGACAGCTGCAAGGACATTTTACTTATCACGTGTGTGTGTGTGTGTGTGTGTGTGTGTGTGTGTGTGTGTGTGTGAGTGTTTGGGTCTGTGTTGGTGTACACGTGCATGCAGGTGCATGTACAGTGCGTGTGGAGGCCAAGGGCATCACTTCCCAGGAGCTCTCTGCTTGTCTTTTGTAAACAGCGTCTTACTAACCTGGAGCTCACTGGTCTAGGTTGGCTAGCCAGGGAGTCCCAGGGACCTGCCTGTCTTTGATGCCCTATGCTAGAATTACAAATACACACCACCATGACCCCTCTTATGGCTTCCAGGTTAGGAATCAGGTCTTCATGCCTGTACATCAAACATATTACTGTTCTGAGCTCCCCTCTCCCCCAGCTCTGCAAAGGCATTTGAGGGTAGTGAGAGACAGACCTTGAGAAGGAGCCAGGTCAGGGATATCTTGGGGATCCTTCTTTTCTTGGTGGTCTTAGAACCTTCCTGTGGGCCCTAGAAGACACTGTTGGTTCCTCTTGTGGATTCCTTGACGGAATCTCAGTACAAAGTACTTGACATCTGCTTCCCACCCCGGGTGAGGTTCCTTCCTAGCCTTTACTTGTCATGAAGTGGCTGTCCTCTCTGTTCCAGTTTCGGGGGAGATCAGAAAGTCTTTATTTCTATTTATTTGATACACAAGTCCAAAACCCATGAGCACTCTGGGCCCAATGCCAGCCCTGTTTGATCAAAGTCAGGAGCCATTCATTTATACACAGTTCTTCACGTGTCTCTAAAGAGGCTCCCCCATACCACCATCGGAGAGAGGCTCGGTGAAATTTGCTGGATTTTGTGTGTCTCCCTGGACAAGGCCCCTTATGGAAAGGGATGGAAGGAAAGATGGAGCTACTAACTCTGGGCACTGCAGTCTGTAGTGTTGTGAATGAGAAATGTCCCTGTTCTACCCCAGCACATACGAACACAGAAATATACATGTAGTAAATACTTGCTAGGCAGCTAGACCCTGAGTAGGAGAATCTAGGGATTTTCATGGGGTCCCTCGTTTGCCCCCCCCAATGCTAAGAAGTGTTGGGGAGAGTGTTCAGGAAACAGAGTTGTAGCTCTGGCTGCAAAGACTCAGAGGCTCCAACACTGGTGGTTACCCCTAAGCACCCACTTCTTTACTTACTGCTGTTAGGGCTTCCGCTCTGTGCCAAGCTGCTCACTGCTTTCTGGGGAATTCACTCTCTTCAAGACTGCAGTGATAACCGTAGGATTTGTGTGAAAGGTCAGGTGTGCATGTGTGTGCATGAGCATGCCTGTGTGTGTGTGTGTGTGTGTGTGTGTGTGTGTGTGTGTGTGTCTGTGTGAGTACACTCACCTGTGTGCAGATTCAGGGTAATTAGCATCCCTCATCACTGCCTGAGGATGTCTGTAACCAGACAGATGGAGGCAGGGTATTAGAAGAAGAGCACAGAAAGGTTAAGGATAGGCATTGGTGTAGAAGACTGTGCTAGATGAACCTGGGCAAGTTTATTAGCACCTCTGTGACTTGGTTTCCCCATCTATAAATGAAGCTAATACCTGATTCAAATGGTTGCTGGGGTGGATTCCCTGAGGTAGTGTCTGCAGAGGGTTCAGTATAGGGTCTGGAAGGTGGAAAGAACAGGGTTAGTAGTGTTGACATTAGGGAGCCAGAGTCAGGAGGCAGTTGTCTTGGAAGGCTTCCTGGAGGAGGAGGTCCTGGAGCTGGCACTGGAAAGAGGAGAAGCAGCCTTCTATGAGAGTTGTAGGGCAGGTCTCTGTGCCTGTTGAGGGCTGTGGCAGAGAGCACACTGCCAAGCAGACAATGGTAGCTACCCTGGGCACCCAGAACAGCTTTCCTGCTGCCCCTAGCAGCTGGTACAGTTGTAAGACTTCATGAAATGGGAGGAGAGCGGCCAAGGGAAGACCCCCCCAACCCTCCAGCTTGCCCCATAGGGTTCCCAAAGGACTGTCAGGTGAGGAAGCAGAAGACCACGTGACCTCAGTCAGGGAGCAGTGGCCTTGGGGAGGGTGTGTGTGTGGGGGATCACTTTGTCAGCTCTCTTCCTCGTCTCTGAGGCTCCCTTCCTGGTCCAGCCTCTGCTGCCTCTCTAGCAGACTCTGAGCCGACACACTTCAACTATGAGGCTGGGGTACACAAGTTCTAACCCTGAGTCCCTCTGTGGGTGGGGGACCCTAGCTGAGTCCCAGGGGTCCCCTGGATTTCTGTGCCCCACATTTGGCTGCAAAGTAGAAAAGGAGAGGCAGAGCTCGTGGAGAGAGCTTGGCAGTGGGTGGGAAATCGGGGAGGGAGGGGGAGAGCCCAGGCATTACCCAGACCAAAGCAGAGAGCAGAGAGCAAAGGAGGGGTGGAGTAATTCCAGGAAGTGGGGTCCCCAGGGCCCTCCCTTGTTGAAGGAGCCTGGGGGGTTGCTGGAGGAGAGTGACTGTGTGGGGGAGCTGACACCCCAGTTCAAAGGAAAGGCAGGAGACGGCCTGAGGCAAAAAGAAAAAGGAAACCTCTGGGTTCTGGCAGCAGTGGGCACGGGCGCGGCTGGGTGGGGCACCGGCGGAGAAGAAAGCCTGGCGCAGAGGGAGTTGGCCCCCAGCCCACCCAGCACCGCCACCTTCCCCCGCCCACGGGCTCTCGCTCCGGATGGTCCCTTGTGCCACAGCTTGCTTCCCCGCACTGGCCCGGGCCCACAGGTGACGGACCCGATGGACGGGGCACAGGAGAAGGTGTCCACATGGGTGCCACTGGGTATTGGTAGGATGCCAGGCTCTGGGGATCACCAGAGGCAACCCCAACAATGGGGGACGGGGAGGTTCACCCCAGGCCCAGAGTTTCAATTTCTTAACCTAAAATGGAAACACTACTTAGCGTCTGTCTAGAAGGGAGGTCCGGAGGAGCGAAGGGGACTTGTGGCACTTTTCATAGCACTCACACTTAAAGAACATTGACTGTGACGTTTCTGTTTCTCTCAGCGCTTTCAACTACAAGTGCCCCATGAGGCCCAGAAAGGGGCGGGGGGGGGGGCATGGTTGTGATCCAAGACTTTCATCTTTCGGGGCCCTTCAGAGGGCCCCTCCTTCCCGACACCTTCTTCCTTC